TTTAAATTTATTAATTTACATTTAAGCAAAAAATAACACCAACATCCTATCAATTTTTGATATACTCTTTACATGCACATTAAAATTAGAATAACATTTTTGGTATACTTTTTACATACACATTAAAATTAGAGCAGCAGCAAATGGACACGTGTGAGACACCATTTGGCATAAATGTCTAGAAGAAATAAACTCTTCCAACTAGAAATAGGTACTTGTTATATGTATAACTTCAAAGTGTGGGATATTTCCACCCTACCATTGGACTGTTTTGTAGGAAGTATCTGGCACCTTAGAGGAATGTTCACCTGCCATTATTAACATATGGCTAAGATATGTGTGTGTGTTCATGTGTGTGTGTGTGTGTGTGTGTGTGTGTGCGTATTTTATGACAAATAACGCCATTTCCCTATGCTCCTTCAAATCTTGAGTAATGTGGCATTTAAGCACTCAGAATCACAACCACAGCTACTGATGAATTAAACTAGAGAGAGCTTTGCTGGCTTACCACTGAAAAACTGAACTTAACCACTCTTTGAACTTCAGTCTGGAAAAGGCACATTTTGCCTGCTATTGTAAGAATTCTCTCCTTACTGAATAGGAAAACATGGAAACTTAAGAATAATTTTTCAAATATCCATACTTTTTTCATGATCTTTCTAGTTAAGGCTTTGGCTTTATAGAACTGCTATAAATGTGATAACTTCTTGGTGACAGGAAACAATTTAGAGGGGAAAAAAAAAAAGAGACTGCTAAAAAAAGTCAGTATTACTAATGTTAATGAATACAAAAAATATTCTCCTGAAATAGATAATGAACATGAAGGTTTCATTAGAAAACATGTCCTTCTTTCATTCTCATCCAGGAACATCTGCTATTCCAACAAGGAAAATACATTCTTACATGTTTTAATACAACCTGCTATCCTTAAAAGAGGAGTGGCTTGATTATTATAAAAACGCCAGTAATGAACATGTTAAGCAGTAATATCTCAGAAAACTGTTTAAAAAGCAGGAAAAGGAAATGTCAACTTCTTTTCTTGTGCAAAATCTGTAAAAGTTTAAGATGCCACTTTATGAAGGTCAATCTGATGATTCATTAAATAGGTTGCAACTGCATTATTTTAAACACATACATCATTTTAAGACACCCCTTCACATGTCTGCACGAACGAAAGAGGCGAATACTCCATCTTCCCGAGCCAAGAGGCTTTCTGGAGTGTCATATTCTAAAATATTTCCTCGCTTCATCACAATAACCAGGTCTGCCGTCAGAATAGTGTGAACCCGATGCTGTGAGTAAAAAGAACACATGTCTTTGTTACAAATTTCAAGGCACAAGCCAAAACAATGGAATATGTATATTTCACAAATTATTCAGGGACATTCATTTATCTTGGGGTGCCAGGAGATGCAGGAAGCACAGCCCTTCTCTTTCTTCTTATTGAAACTATTGTTTATTTACCTACTTTTAAATCCCGGCCAGTATGGCTGGGTTTTATATGGGCTGTATCAGCTTGAGTGTAGCTAGTATA